CATAAATGTTTCCTGCTTATCCATGAGGGCAGGAGGCCGAGTGCAGCCACAGGCACAGCCACAGTTCTTCACTCACTCTCAGGCCTCCATCCAAGGGCTTCGATGCAGGCACTTCACACACAGAAGGGGCTGGGGAGCAGGGTCGGGCAGCAAACGCAAAACATGGCCATCGTGGCCCTGCTTTTCCCAGAGCATCTGTCTCAGTCCATATCTTCCCGCTCTGGGTCTGTAGCATCTTCCTCTTGAGGCAGATTCAGGTGTCTGCGGGACATGATGTTTATCACACGCTGTTTCTCCATGTGGGTGGTCAGCACGGGGTTCCTGAATCAGGCTTCCTTCGGCGTTGTGGTGGTGGGCAGGGACAGCATGAAGGTGCCAACACAACCTGTGTGGACTCCTCGCTGAGCGTCTTCTGTATACCTTCTGTATACCTGGCGTGCATCTCCCCTCAGAAGGGTTGCCTACAGCTCAGTCACATGTTCCCTGTCTGCGACTAGCAGGTGGTGGGGACAATCGGAGGTGGGGCCAGCCGGGGGGAGGGGCTGCAGGAGTCTGGGGTGCCGATTGGGCCCGGATCAGGCTGGTTGGCTGCCTCAATGTGCATCATAGCCAATGGTCATTCCCCGTAATGATCGCTGGGCTTTTATATATATAGATTTCCTGCTTCCTGGTTTTTGTTTTTTTAATCTTAATAGTTATCCTCCCCAAGAAACCATGGATCATCTCATGGCTGTTTGATACCTTCTTACATTCCTGGGCCCAGTTCCTATTCATCATACTTTTTTTTTTGACTAACTGATCCCAATGTTTTCCTTCAATCCTTTTCTTTGGTCCTTTACTAGGAAATTTTCAAACAGATGCAAAAATAGAAAGGATAATGATTCCTCATGTACCCAACACCCAGATTCAATAATTAATAATTCATAACCAACCTCATCCCCAAATGCCTATTTCCATATTATTTTGAATATTATTTTGAAAACCCCAGACATCTGAATATTACATTCACAGGTAGTTCAATATGTATCTCTAAAATAAAGTGACTTTATAAAAATATAATACCATTATCAGACCTTTAAAAATGAAAATAAAAAAAGAACTACTTAAATTCAAATATTCAGTTAGTGTTCAATTTCCAATGGTCTCAATTTTTTTTCTTTAAAGATGTCTTATTTGGTGGGATCTACACATAGTGATTCTGTCCATACTTTTGGGGTTTTTTACAATTTATTTGAAGCAATGGAATCATTTATCCTGTAGAGCAGTGCTTCTCAAACTATGATGAAGGGACAGTTTTAGATTTCCAGTCTATCCTGAACTGATACAGGTCCTACTGCACATACTAGTTCTAATAAACAGACTGAGCACATGCAACTTATTAGGAGCATTAAGAATACCTGGACCAGTTCATATGCTATTCAACAAAAGAAGCCCATTAATAATGTGCTTAAGTATGTTGGCTTAAACATTTCTAAACACTAAACATTGCTTACACATTTTTAAGTGCTTAGTTTTGATTCTTCTATTTATTTCATTGTGCAGATCACCTCTTGGTTAGCAGTGCTATAAAATTTCCCACAGGCTGGATTTTGCTTTATTACATTTCCATGGTGTAGTTTAACATGTTTCTTTGTCCTCTATACTTCCTATAAATTTGGTAGTTAGATCTAAATTTTAATCAGATTGAATTCTAAATTTCCTGGCAAGACTTTACAATTAGCATTCTATTTTTCTATCTGGAGATGTAAATTTGGCTGCCCCACTTTCTGTGAGTTAATGGTCATCAGTGAACACTTTATTACTAGTAGTTAATGTCAAAGCCTCTAGTAAATTTGGCTGTCCAAAGTTTGTTCCCTGAGAAACTCTAAGGAAGCTCTCCTCTTCCCAGGCCCACTGCTTTCCTCTGCTACCTCAGTTTCTGACACAATGAAGATCTTCTAGCTGTCGGTTGTGAGCTCCTACCCATTTGGGAAGACCTTAGGAAGCTCTGGTCGGGTGGCTCAGTTGGTTGGAGCATCGTCTTGTATACAGAAAGGTCGCAGGTTCAACTCCCAGTCAGGACACATACCCAGGCTGTGGATTCGATTTCTAATCCGGGTGTGTGCAAAAGGCAACTGATTGATGTTTATCTCTCACATCAATGTTTCTTTCTCTCTCTCTCCCATCCTCTCTAATATGTCAGGTAAGGATTAAAAAAAAAGAAAGAAAAAGAAAAGAAAAGATCCTAGGAAGACCTTGTCACCCAGTTGTCTTATAGATTTTGCCTGTGGTTTGGGGCTTTGCTATTCCAGAGGCTACATCTGTTCTGTAAGATTTGGGATTATTAAAAACTTTACAGCCCACCTCCCTTGTACTTTTTTAGAACAATGCTGCTTGCTTTTAGCATCTTAAATTTAACACTTAATTCATTACCTTCCAGAGTTTTTAAAAATTTTAGATAAATATGTTTAAAACTAAATATACTGCAAGTACATTTTAAACTACATCCTATCCATTTTGCTTTATTAATGTTAACTGTGGTCGTATGATTTAAATGGGGTCTACCAAATTTCTATGTAATAAAGTTTTCTATCTAATAAGATTAGGTCAGACTTAGAACCAATACTTTCGCTACGGCCAGGAATTAAAAAACCACCACCCCTCTCTCCCCCACACCATTCTTGGATCTGAAGCATTACCTAGGTCATAAGCAGGTCCCACTCACAAAGCAGCTCCAAAAAAAGCGACAGAATACAGTAGAACGGGCAGTGAACTAAGTTTTAGCTCTGCAACCAATGGGTTGGGTAACCTTGGGCAAGTCATTGAATTTTCCAGAATTTCAGATTCCTTGTAGTGGAAGTGGAAATAATCTATCTCACAAGGTTATTATTAAGAAGAGTAAATGAAACAATGAACATGGAAGTACTTTATTAAAGTATAACTTAGAGACATACATATATATGAGTGTGTGTTTTTTTAAACTATAAGACAGAATGCACAGTAGCATCAGGTTACCTTAGCCATGCCGACTACCTACTAAGTTGGACTGGACCCAAAACAAATGTGGCACAAGATGAGAATTAACTTCCTACTACTCTTCCTATTTTCCACCTTCTAAAGCAGCCTTGATTTTTCCTCCATTAAAATGCTAGTGTAAGTCCTGCAGCTTCCACTGTCACTTGCACGGCCTGCAGGCTTACAAATCAGAGCACTCTCCTTTTTTATTTCTCTAATGAGGTAGGCTGGGCTGAGTACCTGCCCATGGCCGTGACTTAGACATCATATTACTGGCATCACATCTCCTCTAGCGCATTAATTATAGGTGACGTTCTATCACTTGGTCATATTTCCCAGATTTTGATCTGTCTTTGTTAATTTCCTTTTCATTTCATAATAAATCAATATCCTTATTAATAGTTATTATTCCTGCCCTAACCGGTTTGGCTCAGTGGACAGAGCGTCGGCCTGCGGACTGAAGGGTCCCAGGTTCGATTCCAGTCAAGGGCATGTACCTTGGTTGTGGGCACATCCCCAGTAGGGGATGTGCAGGAGGCAGCTGTTTGATGTTTCTCTCTCATCGATGTTTCTAACTCTCTATCCCTCTCCCTTCCTCTCAGTAAAAAATCAATAAAGTATATTTAAAAAAAATAGTTATTATTCCTAACTTAGAAAGCAGCAATTCTAAGCAGTAAGAATGTTAATCAAGTGGCTCTGGGACCAAGCTTGGATAGCCTTTTTGTATACTAGTAAAAGTAACCTGTTGTCATATTAGCAGAGATTCACATGAAATTGCACATCCTGAAGCAAACAGCTGTGTCCTACAACATGATGCTTAATACAACAGAGCAATGGTCACTATTGGCCTAAGGGTCTTACATTATTCCTTTTCATATCCAGCAACCCATTTAGCTTGTGTGGGCAAGAGGGAGTTTTATGAAAATAATTATTCCTCTTGTTTCAATTAATGTGTTTGGAAGAAGTGCTAAAGTAGTAATAAAAATATTTCCTGTGTCTCATTTAATTCCATTTGTTTCTTAAGAAAAACAGAGTTGGTTTAAAAATATATGAATAAAAGACAAATAGTATTGCAGATTTTTAGGAAATAGACTCAAGCTTTTAGGGATTTTCATAATTTGCAAAAAAAAAAAAAAGGAGAAAAAAAGAAAGGAAGATGTATACAATACACATAATACATTAAGATACGAGCTAATAGCTGAAATAAGTTGGGTCTTTTGAGAATGATCAGAATATCAGATTTTCTGCCCTGGCTGGTTTGGCTCAGTGGATAGAGCACTGGCCTGCCAACTGAAGAGTCCCAGGGGCACATGCCAGGGTTGCGGGCTCAATCCCCAGTAGGGGGCGTGCAGGAGGCAGCCGATCAATGATTCTCATCATTGATGTTTCTATCTCTCTTTCTCCCTCTCCCTTCCTCTCTGAAATCAATAAAAATATATTAAAAGAAAAAAAAGAATATCAGATTTTCTCATCAAAACAGCTCAATGCATCCAAACATATACTTCAAGAGTAGCAACAATTAAGACATCTCACAAAGAAAACAATGTAAAGCGTCCACAATAGTAAAGCAGGGGAGGTTAAGGAAAGAACATGGAAACAAGAACAGTTTACAATCTAAACCAATAAATCGCCGGTCCCCTCTACGGTAGGATAAGAAATGCATTAAAGTAGCATAAATTTACCACAGGTTTCAGTGCTGCATGTTTACCCACCGTGGATTGAGAGTAAATTTGAGCCACTGACTACTCATTCTTTAGAAGAAACTCAGAGAAAAGCAGATCAGTATTGAAAGGAAAAGGACAGACAAGAGAAAACAAAAGCCTACCAATATCTGTAGTTACACAAGTCAGTCAAAAAATATCGAGGCCCAGCCTATACAAAGGATGTCATCAAGGTTGGGTGATTCACAATTGCAAAGAACAACTGTTCTGGTTTCATTGAGATAAACTGTAGTGACCTCAACAAGACTATGCATGCCTTCAACCATGAAAACTCTCAAGACTCACCTGGTGCTTGGAGAAGAGCCGCACGGCCTCCAACTGGTGGAAAACTGGGTAATGCTGGGAGTCGATCTGGTCACGCCTGTAAACATCACCCACCACCAGGAAGGCATCCAGCCCAGCATGCAACAGGTCCCACTGGTGCGCAGAGGTGTGTGCTCGGAGCATGTGAGTCCGATTCAGGTAGTAGTTGTCTCCCTTCTTCCTGCTGGGGTGATCAGCTGGGATGAGCAGGCTGTCAAAGTTCTGCCAGGTCGTGACCACCGGAGAAAAGTTGTCATAGACTGAGAACAGCGGAGTCCCAAAGCGGCCCACATATTGCTTGTAGAAGTGCTCCTTCACCCTCTCCTTGATCAACCAAAGAGGGTGATGCTGCTGGTTGTGCAGATTTCTGCCAACTCTGGAGAGGACCTTCTGGGAGAGATTGCTGTAGTCATCCTGAGGGTAGGACTGGCCCAACAGCTCCACCACACTACCTAGAGCTCCTCGGGCAGCAGACTCTGAAGTAGCAGGCCTCGAGCCCAAGGCCGGATGCTGGTGGCCTCTGGAGACACTACTTGCTGTCCTCACCAGGTAGACACGCACGTGGGCAACTCTTCTGAGAGCTGAACAAACCATTGTGGAAACTTCTTTCATGGATTCTGGAAAGAGCACACATACAAAGCACAAGTTAAGATTCACTCTGAGAGAAAAAAAAAAAAAAAAAAAGATTCACTCTGAGGAAAGTAAATGCGTCTTTCATGTTTCCCATAAGCTCCCCCACAGTCTAACCGACATCTTGGTTTCCTGCATCACCTCCTCCACACAGACTGAAGATCCAGCTAAGAAAATCTGCCAACAGAGGCTTAATATTGACTGCTGTAAATCACAAGAATCTTGAACATCACTTTTAGATCCCTAATCTCTAGATGTCCATCTTTTGTCATTTAGATCCTTGGGATAAAGAAAATTTCCATTATCACCTCATGTCATGTTCTGAACCACTTGGGCTGAATTCAGACTTTAAATGTGACAAATTTCTTTTATTTTGACTACAATCTAGAACGAATAAACTTCAGATGGATCATCTAAAAGACGGAACTTAGTTGAACCCTAGAAGGGTCTCACATTAAAGAAAGCACATGATTACATATACACCACTGAAGTATAGCAGAAGAGATAACAGCCATCCTGCACATTTCTGCCTTTCTCCCTCATAACTACAAAGTTCTACTTACCTGAGACAGAGCATTACTTCTAGATTTTTTCAATATATTACAAAATGATATTAAAAACATTTTTGACATTTCAAATAAAATACACCACTGTAGGTGGTGGTTATTTTTATTTAATGTTTTTAAAAATAAAAATGAAAAACAAGGAAAATCACACCAAGTGATAGACTATACTGATGTACAGCTGAAATTATTTTTATAAATGCAAATCGTTCTTATTGTCACATCTGGTCATGTCATTTAAACAATACCATTGCAGCATCCCATCGATTACATTTTTGTTTTGTAAAGGAGCAAGTTTCAAATATGCACCCACAATAAGCCAGAAGCAGGAATAAACTTACTTGAGAAGGATTCAGAGCAGTCAGAAAGAGTATTGACCAGATATTTTTTTAAAAAATGCCTAGAATTTAGTAAGAGCACCGAATTTTGGAGGTGAAAGTCACCCAGCAGTCATCTAATGTAGGCCATTCATGTCACAGAGGAGGTGACAAAGACCCAGCCACAGCTGACCAAACCCCAAGGTACTCAGAGAGAAAAGACAACATGAAAGGATTCTGAACCATTTAACAGAGCTTTCTATCCCCAGCTGTACAGAAGCAAGTTTTAAATTGACTCAGGGATCTCAGTTATAAAAATCTTTAGATGGGATATACCTATGTGCATAAAAAATGTACCATAGACTTAAATCACCCAAATCCATCTTCTACATTTTGGAATTTTTACCTATTGGGCTACTTTAAAGCATATAACTATGTGGTTATTTTATATCAAGGGCCTTACAATCATACCAAGAAAATACATAACTTCTGGATATTAAGCTGCATTAGGAGAGATTTATTTTACTCCAAGTGACCATAAAAAGCATATCTAGTATGGACCCAGGCAGCATAGTTCATCCAATTCAAAAATGGAACTGAGAATATCTAGCTCCAAATAATATTAGAAGCTGTGCAAAGCATCTCTGTCTGACACTGCTGTCATATGAGGAGGTTTCAAAGAAATCCAGGAACTCTCTCTGGATTTTTGCATTTATGTCACTATTTTATCAGGATTGTTTCAAAAACTGTTTTTGGCTCAGCTTCAATGGAAATGTGTCTTCCCATCTCTAGTGCTCAGTGGCTTGTCAATGCAGAAGATAGTAATTTTAAATATGCATGTGCAACACCTTATACATGTTAGCAGTCAGACTGTTAAGTTGTTAGCTACCCAGTTCAGGACACTTGCCGAGACACAAGAAAGTATTTCTTCCAAAGGCAAATGCTGTTACACAAAGTTCATTAATCTTCTGGAAAAGGTGTTTTTGATATACTTATTCATATACTAGAGGCCCGGTGCACAAAATTCATGCACAGGGGAGGGGGGGTTCCCTCAGCCCAGCCTGCACCCTCTCCAATTGGGGAACCCTTGTGGGATGTCCAACTGCCGGTTTAGGCCCAATCCCTGTTCTAAACCGGCAGTCAGACATCCCTCTTGCAATCTGGGACCACTGGCTCCTAACTGCTCACCTGCCTGCCTGATCACTCCCAACTGCCCTCCCCTGCTGGCCTGATTTCGCCCCCAACTGCCCTCCCCTCCCGGCCTGGTTGACCCCAACTGCCCTCCCCTCCTGGCCTTGTTGCCCCCAACTGCCCTGCCCTGCTGGCCTGATCTCACCCCCAACTGCCCTCCCCTGCTGGCCTGATCTCACCCCCAACTGGCCTCCCCTGCAGGGAGGCAGAGTCAAAAGCTCTGCCTCCTAGGCAGCCATTGGCTCCTCACAGCACCTAGATTTGGTTCTGATTGGTTGGTTTCTATGCCAGTCAGCATCAGAAGCTCTGCCTCCTAGGCAGCCATTGGCTCTCCACAGCACCCAGATTTGGTTCTGATTGGTCGGTGCCTATGCCAGTCAGCATCACAAGCTCCGCCTCCTAGGCAGCCATTGGTTCTTCACAGCACCCACATTTGGTTCTGATTGGTCAGTTCCTATGCCAGTCAGCATCTCCGGGCCTATCTCTGGGCCTGATCAGAGAGGCAGGGCTGAACAGCAGCCCCCATGGAGACCGGGAGAGAAAGAAAGGCCCAGTTGCTCAGAAAGAAAGAGGGAGAGAAAGAGAGAGGCAAGTACTGATCAACAACTGCCACTGAGGCTGCGGATCAGACCCAGCCCTCTCTCTCTGGGTCTCAGCCCCCAGGGCAGTCAGTGCTGGGTTGCCAGGCTGCAGCCGGGGCAGTCAGTGCTGGGTTGCCAGGCTGCAGCCAGGGCAGTCAGTGCTGGTTGCCACAGCAACCCAGCTCTGACTGAAGGACTTCCTGAAGGACTTCCAGGTTGGTCAGCCTTCTATCCTGATTGGTCGTTACAACCCTGGCCTTTTATACATTAGGATTACTGACTTCCCCTTCCTTCTCAGTTCCTAGCTCCTCACACATCCAAACCTACTTCTAGGTTCTGTTCCCATAGACAGGTCCCATCCCTAAGTTCTTTCTTTCTTCTCTTCACCCTACCTCTCCACTGTTGAAGAAAGTTTCATTTTCTTGTCCTCATTTTCAGACGTTTTATCTACCCACTCAGCCCCTGCATATATTCCTCCACTGTCATTTCTCCCCACCCAAAATAATTGGGCTTTTTTATATTATCGTCTTTTACACAGAGAAAATAATGATGACGATAGCTTTCCCACTTCCATCTGAAAAGTAAATTCCTTTCTTTTTGCCTTTGTCAAGTTTCTATATAAAAACTAGTTTATCTGGAAAATACAGGAGACCCAAGAAGACAATACCAGCACCACCAGCTATCTTCTACTGGTAAAATGGTCTTCCACGTCATTCTTTCAACAGCTCTGTTAAGTGTTATTCTTACCATTTGACCAAAAAAAAAAAAAAATCAAATAGATCTTGTAACTTGAAAAAACTCATACACCTACCCATGTACAAAGTTTAAAACTCTGGGTAATTCAAGTACTTCTCAATGAAAACAGGCCCACAGACCCAAGGCCGTTAAAATCAAATTACATCTTTTAAATTATCTATCCTAGCTCCCCTTATCTAAGCAATGTATTTTATACATCAATGCACTTTAAATACATTAATGAATAAATCAAATAAAGCACATTAGCTTAGATGATAGAAATTAAATACCATTTAACTCAGGACCCGAAACGTCCTGTTTTTGTAAATAAAATTTTGTTGGAACCTAGCCATGCCCATTTGTATTGTCTGTGAGGGCTTTTCCACCACAGAGTGAGAGCTGAATAGTTGCCACAGACAGCATAACCCACAGGCCTAAAATACTTAATGATCTTGCCCTTCACAGAAAAGGTTTGCTGAGCCTTTTGTGTGTGTGTCTAATGAGAGTACCTGAAATCTACTCTCTTAGTAAATATCCTTCATTAATGCAGTATTATCAAGTGTAGTCCTCTAAAAAGTTCTCCACACTATTAAGCATACCTTCCTAGTCACAAACATATGTAGGAGATTATAGAGCCACTAAAAGTTATAATAGTACAAATGTGGATACTAAATGTACTAACACTGGTAGAGAAGAGACAGTGAGACCAATAGTGAGAAGAATTGATACAACAGATGGGCAAAAGACCACACTTAGCAGAAACATCCATGTGGATGTGATGCAAAGCCAGCTAGTTAGGCTCCGTGTATTATCCTTGAACACATTAATTGACCTTTCTGGCCCTCAAGTTTCTCCTGTATAAAATACAGATAGTAATACCTACCTCATAGTACAAGGATTAAACTTGATCCTGTTCTTAATGCATTTAACTTATTGCCCAATTGAGGGACTAAATTTTAATTGTATTTAATTTTACTTAATTTTAATCTAAATTGCTACATGTGACGAAGCGCTACCATATTAGACAGGGCAGATCTAGACCTTCATATAAGAAAAATGGGTATACCCCAAACAATCAAAACTAATTCCTGAGATTATATCTACCACAATGACTAGAACTAGTAAAACAACAAATAAATGTTTGTCAGAATACATTTTCTAAATGTTTAAAAAGTCTTTCCTTTAGACCTTCCTCAGTCTTCTGTGTAAAGGAGAAACAAAGCAGTGAATAGACTCTACGACTCTGGTAATTCCTCTTAAGTGCAATTAGCTTACTTGAAAGGGCCATGGTAAGCAAACATGACCCACATACAGACACAACCTTAGAAAAGATCAGGCACACTCCATTACCCTCCAGATGCAGTACTTAAAAACAGTTTCTACCAAAAAAATTTAAACTTGACTCAGTCAACAAACAGTTTACACATTTTACATGTAATGGAGAGGAAATAGCCAACTTCCATTAACTTCTATATATCCTACCTAATAAAAGAGAAACATGGTAATTAGCCATACCTCCGCTACCCTTCCCATTGGCTAATCAGGGCGATATGCAAATTAACTTCCAGCCAAGATGGCGGCCGGCAGCCAGGCAGCTTGA